AGGTAGACGAGCGACTCGCGGTCAGAGTATTCTGGCAGACGGTTCGGGCCGACCACAGCGTCAAGCTCGGCTTGCACCCTCCGCAGTATATCGGGCTGCAGGGACAACGCTAGTAGGGTGGCCTGAATGGTGGAGAGGGTCTGCAAGCAACGTCATCAGTCCAGCTCGTTAGTAGTGCATCAGACGGTAACCGCACCGTATCGGCTCCGGCTGGAGAGGGTCGGAGCATGTCAGTAAGCCCCCCGGACGCGAGAGAGACGTGAACGGTGCTCACCGTCGAAGGAGATAGCGCCGATGTTTTTGATCAAGTCTTCCTCTTGTTCGATGGAAGAGTCTTTCGGAGGCGAGCTGGTCAATTTCTCAAGAAGCGCGCCGATGATGCAGTTGTTGCTGCCGCCGTCCTCCTAATTATGTGGCATGAGAACGTGCGTCCAAAGTCCGGGATCCGTTTGCCTCACCATCGCCTCTTTGGTGTACGCGAACGGCACGTTCTTCAAACCGCTTGCAGCGGCCTGCCATACAGCAAACTGCTTTTGAAAACCGGCACCGGGGATGAAGCTAGGGACGTGTCGTAGGAAAGGGAAGAACCGTATGAGGAATTTCCCGGGGACACCACGCCCGCCTGGGGTCCCGGCGAGCGCGGTATTAACTGCAGCCATGTATTTGTCCTGCTCGTCCGTCACGTCGATGTCATAGAGCAATTTCATCAGGGTTGCCGAAAAGTTGCTACATTTATGACGTTTAGCGTCGGATCATGCAGGTCTCTAGAGGACGCGGGCAACGGGCGACTCACAACTGCAGGTGATCCTGGAGCCGGGACGGGTCTTTGTGGACCTCGGCCAAGAGCTTGTGCGCCATCGTCCGAATGAAAGGTTGATATTGCGTCACGGCGCCCTGGTTGAAGTGTTGCGTAAAAGCACGGCGATGGCGTCTCCAGGATTGACCGTATGGCAGATGTCCAAAGTTCAGCTCTCCGCCAGTGCTGCGAGGCGCTGTGAGTCATCTGTCTTGAAACACCCGAGAGAAAGGAGTCAGTACTGACAGTTGAATCAAAGCGGTCTGCTTTCTGTCAGAGGTGTTTGCGGATCGCTTGTTCAGATACTCCGTCATGACCCTGGCGCTGTTCAGAACGACGGTGGACTGTCCCAGAACGCGGAAATGGAGAACATCGCCTGCCGATGCGGTCATCAGCGAACGTGGAGGAAGCATGTATCGAGGAGGCAGACTCGCTTACCATACTTCCTACACAGGTCCCTGTACGCGACCCATGGCTCGATCTTCGGCATGTTGAAGAGGTTCCCGAGGAGAGGTAAGCCTGGGGCCCAGGAGGATATGTTGGACCACCGGCCCACGCCCTCCCACGAAGGATGGAGCGGACATGGAAAGCGAACAGGAACGAGAGGATGAGGGCCGGAAGAGCGGGGAGGACAAGGATCTGAAGCTCCATGGTGGGTGAAGGAGGAGAGACTCTGCAGGACCGTGCTGCGAGACTCGAGGATTTATGTCGACTGGCTGGCTCTGGTCGCTCCGGATCGAACGGGAAGTCCTACCGACTTGTCAAGATTAGTTGACGGTCACGACTTGGGCGGTTGTGTCCTGGATGCCGCGGAAGACCCTCAGCGGTCATAGCTGAGGAGAATCGTGTTCTGGTGGCACTCAGCTGAGAGCCAGGTCGCCGTCCTATAGCCTAACGATCGGGCAGCCTGCCTGCGGGAGGGGGTCGCCTGGTCACAACGGCGTTCAGACATCGAATGGAAAGAGCGGAATAGTGCATACCGAGGCATCAGTTCTCATCAACGTGTCTCGGTTCTCGCAGTTCACGAATCATGTCTCCGCCCGCCAGGGCCAGCATCGGAATGGACGTTCGAAGGCCGCTGCAAGAGGTACCGATGAATCCCTCCATAGGAGCCCTGATACGTCATGAGGCAGAGGCAAAGCGTCCTGGATGCACGATGCGGCACCGTTCCTACACCATGCTCACCGCCGTAGGATGTGAAACTCGGTCGCTCGACGACGAACGAAAACCACAAGCCGTGGTGGCGATTTCGACGGGCTATGACTGTCAGAAAGCGTGACTGAACGTTATGCCGAATAGCGTCACAATGTCCGATGGTCACGTTCTCCAACCACGCTATGGCTTCGCATGCGATGCAGGAGGTCGCGCCAAGGGAGAGTTTGTCTGCGGTTGTCGTCAGCGCTCAGCCTGTGACAGAGGGTTTCAAGCAAGCAGGAAATTACCAATAGTATGGGTGCGCTAACATAGACTCTCGGCCGAATCACATTGGAAAGGCGGCACCGTTGAAGCGGGGCGGGTGGAAGTCGCCTTGTAGCGGATCTCACTGTCGTGACTCTTCAGCGGATCGCTTGTACTGTGTTTGGCGATCCGGATGAGAGCAGTGAAATATTTAATCGAGACATATGAGCTGATCCTGATGTTATTGACGCAGCAAATGTACGTACTGTTGTCTATTCCCCCTGGAAAATGTCCGTAGAGGCCGCCTTCCTGTCCAGATTTGCATACAGGAGGACGGGCGTGGGCGTGGAAGGATGTGGCGTCGCAGTCAGACTGAAACGTTCACAAATCCAGAGACTCGTCGGAGCGCCGACAGACACCTCGAGCGCACGTTGAACCTCCTCGATGACGCGTTAGTAGTCAACGATGGCGAGCTCGGGGCTGGACAATCGGCATACTGGGGACGGGGAATGCTGAGCGAGGCCGGCTCCGAAGCCAAGCCGGTGCAGCATGCTACTCTCGCAAGGGAAGGAAGTAGCTGGTACGATGCAGATGTATGGTTCCAAAAGTTCTATTCGCATGCCCGGGAGACGACGTAATGTAGTGAGTGATGTGTCTACATCACGCAGTGTTTGCTCTCTAGAAGCGATCATGAGCACAGGCTTGAAGCACGTCTGAAGCGGTCCCTACCATAATTCCACTACCCAGGGCCCGGGGTGACCTCTGTTCAACGAGAGCTAGTGAAACCGTAGCAACACCTGAGGCACAGAGGTGAGAACAAGGTGTCCTTGACACACATAGCTAGGGTACTTGTATTGGGGTCACACCCTGAAGGAACAAGGCTGGAATCTGTAGTTCCTTATGTGAGAGGGCGTTAGTAGTTCGTCAAAATGGAGACTCTTGAGTCCAGAGTGTTCAATAACAACGTATATGACGCACACTTCCGGCGGATGGCGTTAAGCAAGTCGATCGGTCCCACAGCTGGGCTTGGCTTGGGCTTTCGCGCGTATTGCCGTCGCCTTGAGCTGGTTATGCGGCAATTACACTTGATGTTGGTTAGAATAAATTTGTTGACCCGAACCAAACGCTATGTGATCGCATTTCGGATACTTCCACGCATCTGAGCGACCATAGTGCTCACTCGCCTCGCCTCTGGTGACAGATGGCGCACGCTCTTCCGGCGGGGAGATCAGGGAATCGGGACCGTACCCGCTTGATCTGGATGCAGTGGCTTGCAAGATCATTCGCCGCAAATTCCGGGGAAGCAGATTGTGTGCGTTAACGAGTAGCTGTCACGTTCGGAACTTGGGTATGCGCCACACGAAAATCGACTTTCGTACCCTTAGGTGACTCCGATGTGTGAACGGGTACCCTCGCGATTCAGGGTTGAACGTTGACTCGTGGTGAGAAGACTTGAAGTGACCATGCTCTATAGAAGAGTGCAAACGTGGTCCACCTAGCTGAACGGATGCAAGTCAGGTGAGTCGAGTTGCTTGGAAGACTGAATTCGAAGCCAACCGTCACGTAGTCCACGTTCACGGGCTGTCTGAACAAGAGCGAACGTGTCCATTACCCGTGCCATCGACTCAGTCAAATGTACTTAGCATTGCTTGAGAGGGCGCGAACTCAAGCCGACCGTAAAGTTTGCAGTCAAAGCTTCCCACAAGCGCCGACCCACACTGGCATGGTGGGCTTCCCGTCCGGTCCTCCGCCGACCTCGTCCAGCCGTTCCAGGACCTCCCAGCCGTCCTTCAACTCACCGAAGGCGACGTACTTGCCATTCATCTTCGACAACTTGCTCTCGTCGTCAGTGAGGACGACGAAGAATTGCGACGAGTTCGTGTTCTTGCCCGAGTTTGCCATGGCGAGTGTTCCCCGCGTAATCTTCTTCTTCAGCCCCGCTTTGTCGTCGTTGAATTTGCCTCCATAGATAGACTACAAGAGAGAGAGGCGTATCAGCATGTGTGTTCGTTGCGAACGCGAGGCACTAGGGTATCGCTTCTCCTTGGGTCTTAGACTACGGTATCGTTGCATACACAAAAGAATGTTCTTTCACCGGACAAGAAGGGCACTCACCTCCCCGCCGCTGCCATCTCCACGAGTCACGTCGCCGCCCTGCGCGACAAAGCCCTTCACGACCCTGTGGATAGGGCAATCGACGTAGTGCAACTTCTTATTTGGCGCATTCTTGCACATCCCCTTCTCACCGGTGCACAGGGCGACAAAGTTGGCGGTAGTCTTCGCCAGACCAGGAGCGCTGTCAAGCTCGAAGACCATCCGGCCAGCGAGCAGTGGGGCTGGCGGGGTGAAGCGCATCTGAAGCGAGCCCTGTCGATGGTCGTTGTACGAAGCAAGGGCCACGATGTCGCATAATCAAGAGCACATCAACATGGAGTAGACGGGTGAGGGAGAGGATATGTACGTCGATCTCCTTCAAGATGTCCTGCTGTTCCTCGGAAAGGTGGGAGAGAGATGACGGCAGACCATAGATGGCAGCATTCTTCGCGAGGAGAGCATTGGTTGCATTGTATGCTGCTAGGGATTGAGCGTGTTCGTCGCTGTTGCCCATGAATATGTCGAGATATACTGTGGCTCCCATTGCTGCAGGTAGGTACCTGGGTAAGTACTACGGAACTGGTACGAACACTGTGTACTTACTAATACCACTTACTCAGACTGGGTCACTGGGACAGACTCAGAGGCTGAGTACTGTCGGAGCTGAAGGCAAACAATGGCTAAGAAAATCCTCGCTCGTGCTTTGAACCATGGGCATTTGGCACAGTGGTAGCGCGCACGCTTCGCACCGCAGGAAGAAACCGCATCAACGGGCTTGCGTGAGGTCTAGGGTTCGACTCCCTAAATGTCCATTTTATCAAATAATTGTCTCATCGTTTTCCGTCTCAACCTCTGAAAGTAGCATTCAACAAGAGTTCGATAGCCATTCAGCGACGATGATGGATGCAAGTATGTACAGAGTTGCGTTCTATTGATAAGTAATGTGTATATATTCCGCTGCACACGTCTCCTATAAACCAATTGAACCTCCCTCGGTCGATGCACCGCCGGCGACATCGAGGTCATACGTAGAGCAGATCACGCGGATGCCGCACCTTGACCGCGTCTGGCCGTGTCGACTTGTTCGACATGCGCTCCCAGATCGGGTCCACGTCCGGTCCATCGAGGTCTCCGGCGCCGTCCCAGCCCCAGCACCAAACTGCACAAACGGCCGGCGGTGGGTCAGTTCAACAGGACTTGGGAACACGGAAGCGGGAACGACGACGCACCATACTCTGGCCCGGGCTTGAAGTCGATCGCCTCGCTCTCTTCCTCTGTGAAGAGGCGGTCGTGGGGGCCGAACCAGGCGCGGTCCTGCGGGTCCGTGCGGGGGTTGTCGGGGAGCCCGCCGAGGCGGACGTAGCCGCGGATCGCGGTGAGGTTCCGCCGCGCGGGGTGGACGATGTCGAACACACGCTGGAGGATCGCAGAGGCACACGCAAAAGCCCATACATCAGTTGACGAACGGAGAATGTAGGAGACGGACTGGAGGATAGAGGGCACGTACGTGGTCGTACGCGAGCTTCACGCGGGGCACCATCAGGATCCGGCCGTAGCCCGACTCCCAGTAGTCGTTGCAGATGAGCGAGCACTCGGACGCGGAGCACTCGTTCTCCGTGATGCGCGCCATGCGGAAGCGCACGTGCGGCGGCGAGTAGAACGGCGCGGGGTCGAGGATCGCGATGCCGTTCCAGCACGACTGCACCTGGATCGGCAGGTGCTGCATGAAGCGCTCCTGCGAGGGCCCGTGCAGGAAGATGGACTCGAAGGGCGCGTTCTCGAGTGCGGTACCGTTAATATCGCGCGCGACCCAGTTGTCGTAGAACACGGGTGAGCCCTGTTTGGGTGCGGTCAGCGTGCAACAAGGGCGGAGTATGTGGGACAAGAGGCACGTACAAGCTCTTCGTGGTACATGTAGTCCGCGGCGCAGGTGATGCCAGCATTGTTGCGCCGGCTCTGCCAGATAAGCTCGAGGAGATCGTCGACGCATGGGAGGATATCGTTCATGAAGATGATGGTGTCAAAGACCTCGTTCTGCGCGTCCCGCAGCTCGTGGAGTGGTACGAACGCGGCGTTGCGCACCTCGGCGAGGTACTCGATGCGGTGGTTGAATGCGCCGCGCGTGCGCATCGAGGTGCGGATAGTGACGCGCATGCCCACGCTGCGGCAGAGTGCGTCGAATATCCGGAGGAGCGCCTTCGTCTGGTCGGTCGATCCGTTCTCATAGATTGACACGTACACATTATGATAGCCCAGAATGGCTGCGACCCGGAAGAGCGTCGCAAAGAGGTCGGGGATGACGTCAAAGGAGTTGTAGAGGTTGATCGCAAAGAAGTACTTGTGCGAGTCGGGGGTAAACCGGCGCGACGCTGGAACATAGTCCCCGTCCACGTTACTTCCAAGGCCTAACGTGTCCAGCCAGGACGATTTTGATGGTGACTGGTGGCCAATCAAGGATGCGTAGCGGTCCGCGGCCTGTTCTTTGTACATGGGCTGGGCAGGTCGCGTGCATTCTTTGGTGTAGTGTGGAGAAAGATGGGTAAGGAGTTCGAGGATGCGTCTTCGTTGCTTAAGAGTCGGGAGCGTGATTGGATGTCGCGTCGGTGCTCGAGACGAGGGCGTTATTGGTGCTTGGCCACCTCTCCATGTTGGCGTTCGCTCCTGCGTAACACGTCAGCTCACGTTCTGCAGTAGGTGATGCCTTTGAGATGAGACGGCGCTTTGGAGACGATATGGCATTGGAGCTGTACGCGAGTACATGCGACATGGCATGGCGAGCGGCAACCACCTCTGAATAGATATATCATCTCATGACGACAGTACGCGCACTACGAGTGACATTTTGAGGCATTGCACGTCATGCACTCAGCAGTCCATGGCTGTCGCGGTAGAGCTCACCATGTGACCGCATCAGCTCCCTGCGAGACTCGTTCTTCTCAAAGACCTCGTAGTTGAGCGATTGGTTGGACCGTGCACGAGATCTGCAGTCTCTAACCCATGCCGGCCCGCCGGGTCGCGCGACAGCAGGACTGGAGTGCGCACCGACTAAGAGCCAAAATGGGGACAGCAGGCATGATATTGATGAGCGGCCCGTCCAGCACTGCGCAGCGCGCTGGTTCTCGGGCAATTCAATGATCGCGTACTCGACCGGCATAGGTTTTGTATGCAGATAGCTTCGACCCCGCACGTCTTCTCGAGAGGAATAGGCAGGGTGCGGACTGAAAAGACTCACCGCGGAGAACATCCTGGACACGAAGAGACCAATCATGATGCCAACTGAGAGCGCGAGCCATGTGGGTAGTCTCTGGAGGGGGTGCTTTTGCCTTGGAAGCATCGTGGGCAGCAAGTCGATCTTGAGCAGAGGACGGTAAGACATGGCGAGAGCAGAGCGGAGGAAGAACGCAGGGAGCCACGTACGGAAGGAGGACTCTGTGGCCGGTATGAACGCCGTTTTTGACGGGGAGCCTCCGGAGTGGCTGGGGGCGGGCGAGAGACGGGTGCCGTTAGCTGGTCGGGGAGGTGGCTGATTAGAGGGGAGTATTCTAGGGGTATAAGAATCCGCACCTCGTCAGTCCGTCGATGCCACTCTTGTTCGCTCTCTGGGCGGGAAGCGCGCCCCGGGAGACGCCCCGGCTGGCCTGATATGGGCATGCCACCTCCGGCTCGTCCTGATCAGGCCGTCCACTGGCACCAGCCGTCCACCGACACTCCTTGCACCGTCCCTTCACTTGCATTTGCCGCGGATGCAACGGCGGTCTGGCAAGGCGTCCGCCCACATCAACGCTCCCTCCTCTCCCTCACGCATGGGCGACGTCGACGTCGAGAAGGCCCCTTCCCGCCTCCAGCAGAAGAGCCTCGGTGTAACAAATCGAATATGGCTCATCCTCGTCGGCTTCATTGCCCTCATCGTCCTCACTCGCTCCATCCTGCCAACAGAGACAACTAACCCTCGACATCGTCTCCTCCACAACGATCTCAAGCCCAAAAATTACCTCAACATCTCCGAGAACGCAAACCCTTTTCCCTTCTGCCCCGCACTCGGTGCTGGTGACGAGCTTGCTTCAAAGTACGATCCTCTCGTCCTCTCCACGACACGTTTCCACCTTGGAAGCGGCGCGCGCGTCCAGCGCATCATCAATAAGGCTCTCGCTGGTCTGCCTGTAACAATCAGCGTAGTTGGTGGCTCAGGTGAGTGTCATTGTACTTCTGCACGTATCTCTCCCCTTCAAGTCCACGATGGCGTGCATGCACGGACTTTGCTCCTGACGCTCGGAACTTTTCATGTTCCCGAACGCGCGAGCTGTTCCTAGCCACGCTGCGTCTGGCAATAGTGCGCGTCCTACGACTCTCGCGCGTACTTTTTATTCTATCTATGACGTTTCGGCGCGTCAACCACGCACGCTCGACGTCCATTTCCTGCCGTTCCTCGCAGTAAATGCGCTTTCCTTAGCTTCTATCGCGAGTTCTCTCCACTTCCCTCGTCACTCTGGCCGTTCATCCATGTACACTTGATGACGCGTCTAGGAGCGCATGTTCCTAGCCTGTGTCTCGTTAGCTTGCGCTCTGCATTTGCAACCATGTCGCTAACACAATTGCAGTATCTGCTTGTCATGGCGCGGGCGACGACCCATTATCACCAGCATGTTGGCCTTCCCGCTTCTTCAATTGGTGGAATGGAGTCTTTCCCCATCCTGCCACGGAACTCACCAACGGCGCCATGCGTCGCACGAGTTCCTCCTACTTTTCCTTCTGCAATGCCCACCATATCCCCGATATCACTGACCTCGTGATCATTGAGTTGGACGTCGACGACGCAAAGTGTGTTCCGTTCATGTATGCGCGCGTGAGCTACAACTTACCTCCTTTTCGGCTAGTACGGATGCGGCAATGGACGAATTCGAGCTCCTCATACGATCCATTCTCATTCGGCCGGATGCCCCTGCTGTCTTGATCTTAGGGCATTTCAGCCCTCAAGTCGCTCAAACCAAAGGCTTTGCTGGTGCGGACCATTGGCATAGCCTTGTCGCGCATTATTATGACGTCCCACACATCAGGTGAGTTCGGTATGGGATGGTATGACGACATACTGAATATATGCACCGTCAGTATCAAGCCTGTTCTATGGCCCAAGTACATTGCCGCGCCGTCTTCGATCAACAAGTACTTCGCAGATCCTATTCTCGCGAATCCCGCCGGCCACGAGATCATCGCAGACGTCCTCGTTTCTTACTTCCAGTCTCAAGTCTGCACGGCATGGGCCGCCCTTACGGGCCATTCCGCGGAAGCGCTCCCATCGCCAGCAGCCCCTGTTTATCCGGACGGCCAGGCCAAGCAGCCAACGGATGCGCGCGGTCTCTTCGGCGGGGTCGCGCAGCGCAAAGGTGCCGCGGGTGCCGCATCCCCCGAAGATGCGCAGATCAACCGTGCAGCCGCCGGCGTGCTCCCCGCCGCCCTCCCCGACTCGGCAGGGCGCTCGCTGAACCAGGACCCGCGCTACCGCGTCCCCTCAGTACGCGTCAACGCGCGCCCGGCGGACCTGGAGGCGTTCCCGTTCGAGGAAGTCGCGCCGTACTGCGTGTCCGCGAACGACCTCGTGAACCCGCTCCCGCTGTCGATGTTCGCGGGCTCGGGCTGGGCGGCGTACCACCCCCCGCCCGGCTCTGCGGAGCTCTCGTCGCACGCGCACTACTTCTACTCGAGCCTGCCGACGAGCCGGCTCAGGGTGAACATCCAGGTCGGCGCGGGCGACGTCGCGGTGTACTACGTGAAGGAGCCTGCAAACGAGGTCGGGCTCGGGAGCGCGGTCGAGTGC